GCCAGACGCCTGACCATATATATGTATGTGTGTGCATAGGTATGTATGTATGTATGTACGTACGTGCGTATATATGTATGTATGGATGTATGTATGGATGGATGTATGTATGTATGTATGTATGTATGTATGTGCGTGTGTGTGTGCGTGTGCGTGTGTGTCTGTCTATCTGTCTGTCTGCCTGCCTGCGCCTGCTTGCGCCCGCCTGCCTGCCTGCCTGCCTGCCTGCCTGTCTGTCTGTCTGCTGGCAGGCATGCCTGCATGGATGTATGCATGTATGTATGAATGTACGGAGTTAGGTGGGAGGTAGCGGCAAATATCGCAAAAGTTCGGAACCGAGTTTGCTCTTTGCGAATTCCGAGATCTCCAAATCCACGAAACAAGCTTCGGAAATGTCCCAGTTGCCCTCAACACCGTCCTGAGCTTGGACTTCTTTTTAATCTTTTTCGGAGTTCAATATTTCATGGAGCTTATTGCAGATATAGTTGTCTGTTTTTTGAGTGACTTGTGTCAAGCAGTCTTTCAAAACTCGTGAAGCTAGCACAATTAGATACTCATGGCCACGACCTGATTTTCGAAAGACAGGTCGGTCCAGTAATGGCTGCATGTATATGTATTTACACACACACACACACGCACTCAGACATACACATACACATAACATACACATGCATACACATCCCCACATACACACACATTCATACATACATACATACATACATACATACATACACACATACGTACACACATGCATGCATGCATGCATGCATGCATGCATGCATGCATACATGTACATATACATATACATGTACATATACAGATACATATACATATACCTATACATATACATTATGACATATACCTATACCTGTACATATACATATACATTACATCACATTAATTTACGTTACATTACATTACCTTACACTACGTTACGTTACACTACATTACACTACATTACATTACATTGCATTACATTACATTACATGACATTACATTACATTACATTACATTACATTGCCATTACATGACATTACATTATTCACACACACACACATCAGCTCGGCACGAATGACTGTGACGAAATCGGCGTGCAATGTGAAAGAGAATGATGTTGGTGATGATGATGATGAAAACGAAAATGAGATGGAGTTTTTGGTGGCAGGTAGGCCTGACCAAAGGCATGGCATACACAACAAGATGAAATGATCCGTGAGGGTATGGGTCCTGCCCTGGGTGTGTGAGACACGACGGAATCACACAGCACGAAATGAGGTGAAGGTGAAAGTGATAATGAAGGTCCCGCCAGCTGCCCGCGACGGGGCCCGGGCGCAGACCAAAGCAGGTACGTTTCCTGGGGTGTAGGGGAGAGCTTCGTTGGAGGGAGCTCCCCTGCACCCCATCCGTCCCCCTGCGGTATGTCATGCGGTCACACTAGATGGTCGCTATGTACAGGCGTGCGCACACACACACACGAGCGCCTACATACATACGTACGTGCATGCATGCATGCATACATACATGCACGTGATGCATATATGTCCGCATTTGTCTATCTATCTACCTATGTACCTCTGATTTGTCTATCTATCTGTCTCTATGCAGTCACACATACTCATGCTTAAATATACACTCTCAGGAGCATGTTTGGGATGAAGACTGGGATCCTCTAGGTACTGCAGGAGTATACACCAAGAATGCTTAGCCATGAGTGCTCAACTTTATGATGTGACTTTAAATGTACTTACATATCAAGTTACTGTACTTTTTGCGACTCTGGCAGGATCAAGTGAACATTCTAAACGTAACAGTCGAGCTATCAACGTTTCTACCAGTAGATAGTTGGGCATAGTTGGGGATGAGCTAATGTGGGAAACAACACGAAGGCTGGCCTTTATGTCCATGCATTGCATACATATGTGCAAGTAGGAGCTGTGAAAAAAAAACAACATACTTGAGCTCAAAAAATTGTATCACATGTATCACGTCTGATCTGTGATATCTAATACACACACACACACACGAGCCATCCAAGCATCGCAGGCATTATCACTGTTCTGGTAGGCACCTTTACACGGGCTTGATGTGGTAGCCATGCACACGTAAATAGCCAAACATGCAAGCCCGTATCTCTTAACACATGCACTGGTAGGCTACGTTCGGCAAGATCACATTTCCAGACACGCACAAGGAGGCGCACTTTACGTTACAGATGTACCCATGAATGAGAGACTATTGTCATTCATCAATTTGGGTTCTACTTGTTCGTGGTGTAAGATATGAACTGCAGGTAATAGAACATAACAAAACAGTCCACATTTGTAAGCGCACCTGTCGTCGCAAGCAGGTTTGGCTTGAGCAGCAGACACGCCTTGATAAAGTGGTTACATGAAGTGCTTGCCGAACAACCGTAAGAATTGCCGTGGCAAGTTGTAGCTGGTAGTGGTGTTGGTGGTGGTGCTGCTGGTGCGACATGAACCAAGACAGCCCGCCTTCTGCCACTTTCAGCGCAGTGGTTGTTCTAAACACGACTCTCTAATGAACCGCACTACATTTTTCAACAGTGCACCTGCGCGACCTTTTAAAAAGAGCTCCCCCGTGACACACGCAAGTTCCGAGCAACAGCCAAAGCCAAATCCCCAATACGCTTGAAGCAAGAGAAGCGCCTAGGGCCTAGGTTCGGTTTGGACAACATGCGCGTATGTGGGTGTATGTGGGTATAGTGCTGTGTGGCACCTAGGCTGGGGACCCGGAGATTGGGACCTGGTGAACGTGCCGATCAGTAGTTTTCGTGAGTTCTGGGGCATGGCGACGAGTGGCTTGATGGTCCAATGGGCCAGAAACCCGAGAAACAGCTTCTGGTACCAACAAGCAAGCCTCGGCTTCGGATCCGCCATGCTGCCCGGCCAAAAGGCCGTTAATCAAGGCTTCTTGTTTCCGAGCCTGAAGCATCTAAGGCTGCTGATTCAGACTTTCGCGCCATTCGGTGCTGCTTTTCTCTTGGTGCCGAGGTGCGGGCATGCTTTCACTCGTGTTTGATTGTTGTATTCGAGGGAGGGGATGCGGTTTTGTGGATCCGGCCGATTGCGGGCTATGAGGACAAGCGCCAGTTCGAGAATAATAACTTAGCTAGTCTAGTACGTCGGACATGCAGATTACAGAGTGATCGTACCCAGCATGTGTGGCAGCCCAGTTCACAAACCTCGGGGAAGGTTCGTGGTGCTGTTGGTGATGACGAAACTGGTTTGTGGCTATTGTGGCTGTTTGGGTATGTGTTGCGTTTGGAAAGAAGATGCTCTCATCCTGTTATCTTCATGATCGGCTCCAAGTCTAAGTGGCAATTTGATTGCCCATCCACGCCGCTGGCTTTGATCCGACGGGTCACAGTCCATTTTCGACGGAACGACGTCATGGATAAGGACCCTGATAGGAACTCGTACATGTTGGCGTGAGGCCGAAAGTCATGACGACACTGAAATTTCTGGATGGCCTCATCTTGTGAACTGTTTGGAGGTGCCTTTTGGCTTTCTGCCCGGGAGATGGTGGATCCGATGCAGCTTTTTTCAGCTCTCAGTTCCCTCCGCAGGCCATGCGAGAAATTTGTGATGGTGGTTCCTTGTTGTCCGCCAGCTGATGGCCAGGCGCAGGCATCTGCAAACGGTCTGCTTACAGTGGGAGCCCTGGCCGCCGATGCGGCTTCCGTTCTTTTCTGCTCAGATTTTTTTTTGCCGAAAGAGGCTGTTGACAACATCGTCTCCGGCGTCGCCCGCTGGCTCTTCGCGTGCCTGGGCCGCAAAGGCAGCAAAACCGCTTGCGCGGTTAAATCGTCGGAGGCTGGCATCTCGTGCAGAGGGAAATTGCCGAAAGTACAAGGAGGATGAGGTTCACCATTCGGATTGAGCTTCCTTCACAGCCTTCTGCCTGCAAGTGGACAAGCGAAGGCGCAACACCATCAAGTTTCAACAAGTGGGCGAAGGGTGGGGGGAGCATGGTTGTGATTCTAGGACCTAGGACTCTTCTTGCAAATCGGACAACTGCGGTTCCAACGTAATCCGAATTCTGTGGTGCTCAGCAGCTCACTGAGGCGCTTCTTCTTCGATCCTTCTACGAAAGGATGGCCAGCCGTGCTACCGCTCGCAGTGAGGACCAAGCCGAGTCCCAGTTTTGCGCTCAGAGGCTGATGTGGGGCGACCTCTCAGCCTCTCAGCTATCAGTGAACACGATCATGGCCAGGACTGTTTGCACTCTGCTTTCCAATGCGCTGGCTTTGTATGCCTGGTGGATTTACGGCCGGCCCGGGCGCAGGTCATGTGAAACACTTGTAAATCGCACCTGGCTGCTACGCGATTCAGACTTCAAGCAGAGCTGTTCTTGCAGGAAGACGGAGTAGGAGGACACCGACCTGGAGCACACACGACATCCTCCAAGTCTCCAAGGCCCTGGGCCGCCTGGGCCGCCGGCTGTGGCGGAGTGTTCGGTGCGTTTAGTCTATGTGTCACGCAGGGATCTCCAGCCACAGCTTGTCGTGGCCGGACACTCATTGTACAGATGCTAGTGGCGGGTGCAATGTGATTATACGCGGTATACTGCGACACGTTGAGGAGACCGACGCGAGCATCAGCACCACGTGACCTCGGGCAGGGCCAGGAGGGCTGGGCACCTCAAGGATGTCAAGGTGAGAAGATGCTGACTGGAGTTCGAGCATGAGAACAGCGTCAGAGAACAAAAGACAATTCGCTGAAGTGCCGCAGGAATCTAGGGAAAGCCGGCCCTGATTGACTCAACACAAAGGTTCAGACCAGAGTTGTCCAGATCCGCGAGCGGAACACTTATGCCAAAAGGGTCGAAGCGACATTTGCACTTGAGGTTTCGTTTATCAAAAGATCTGGTGTATCATTCAGCTTTGCTAGGTGCAATGGTGCGTGTGGTCCTTACCCGACCTCAATGTTGTTTTCTGGCCTCCAGTAGCCTCAGATCGCGTTGGGGCAGGTGCCGTGCCCTCACCTACCTGCAGCCCGCCCACGCGTCTGCAGAGCCAGAGAGGCGGGCTCTCCCCGGCTCTCCCAGGCTGGAAGCTCCCACGCCTCCTCGCTTTCGGGTTAGGTATGCGCTGATGGTGTACGAGCTTTCGCAGCTTACAGCTTTCGCCTTGGCTTGCCCAAGTTGCTGCATTCCGCTGCGGAAGATGTTTCTGTGTCCGCCCAGGTCTTTATGCAATCGCTCCGGAACATCCAACAGCAGCTGGTGCGGCCTTTATTTACATTTCGTGTCTCTGCACTGCTGGCTGTTGGAAACAAAGGAGCTGCCTGAGGTGCGATCGTTTGGTGAAGAAGCTGCATGTAACAGTGGCATCGTGGTGTAGCTGCCTCAGATGCCGAATCTTGTCGGACAGAGTATGTGCGAGAACATCATGGCAGGCGGTGTCCAGGCCGACGCCATGATGACCTTGGACGCCTAATACTGAGCTAAGTCTAAGCTCTTGGCACCTTTTCAGCCGTTTTCGGAAGCATGGAAGATACGTAAGAGTCCAAGAGAGCTCAGCAGCCCAGTCGGCAATTTGGAGGAGAATCACAAACTAGTTCTGTGACGCTCCGTCGAGAAGAGGCAGTGTTGGGGTCGCTAAATTGTTAAAGTGCGTCGGAAGTGACGTGCGTTTCGAACCCTCGAAAAGTCCGCTCTGTCGTCGCTTCCGGCCTGGATAATCTAGAACGCGCCCTCGGATCGCGTCACATCATTCCACTTCTTCATGTCTTCATAGTCTTTCTCCTGTCCTCTGTCCCGGTCCTCACAGAGAGCTGACTGATACACTGTAGTGGTGCTCCCTGCAGTGCTGGCTGCTCCCCTCGCCATATGATCTCACGTTCCGTAATGTAGTGAATGTAGTGGCGATATCGCCTAGAAACTCGGTGAGCTCCTTTACAGTAGCATCGGAATCTCATGGACGGCCGCAGTGCAGTGTTTTTTTTTGGTTGCCGAACATGTTGTGCTCACGCCGGTACGACATCGCCAGTACAGGAGAGCCGCGAGCAACATTAGCTATGGTTTCAGTAATTAGCTATGACTCTTTCAACGTCGAGCCTCTTCTCCCTGTCCCTCATGTGAAGTGCTCAAACAAGTGCCAACATCTCAGGTTCGAAGACAGGGGCGGCTGCAGACGCAAGTTTGTCGCCATGAGCTTGTCGTGTGCCGCATGCAGACACCATGACTGCAGAAACACAGTGTCGCCGGTGTGAGGCTCCCCGCAAAGCTCCAGGGTGCACGGTGGCCATGTTTTAGGGAGCCGTCAATGAAATTAAATACACGCAGTTGGAGCCAGGATCGTCCATCCTTGCCTTTGACGCAATTGCGCACCACTGAGGGCACGGAGGCACGACAGACACCGAAGGGATACTGGCAAAGTCCCACCACCCTACCCTGCCAAGAATTGAACACAACTCGCGAATCGGAGTGCTACGGGAGAACCGGAGGTCACGGGCAGAGGGCGAACATGATGGGAGGTCTCATGTTTGTTGGTCCGAGTGTAGCCCGGTCAGAGTGTCTGCTGGCGTGCTAACTCCGTTTACACTTGCAGGCCATGGTGCGAAGTGCCTTGATGAGTGGACGCGGCTTGCTCAGAAGGAGAAGGTGCATGACATTGCACTACGCCAGCTCCCGACCGGTCGTCCTAACTAAGGCATCTCTTCGGCTTTGAACTTGTTCCACGAGCTGAAGGAAACTGATGCAGGCTCAGGTCGGTACCGCTTCGTATGGCCCAGGCATGCCCAGGCCAGTTGCCTCTTCGCAAGCGAAGGCAACGTCTTCGAGGAGTTCCGGGTAACGGCCGGCAGGCCACAATTGCAACCGCTGCTGCAAAAAATCTGCAACTTGCAGCAACTTGCAAGCTGTGGTCTGCTGAGCATGCGCATTTCTCTTCGTCGCTTGAGTTTGTTTTCGGTCAATTGGCAGTTCACGCGCTGCTTTCGAGCACGTTGCAGCCGTTTCACAAGGGGCATCTCCCCAGTTCATGGCGCTTGCCAGGCTGGCATACCAGCTGGTCTGCAACCAGCAGCAGGGGCCTGATCCGAACACTTGGCACAGCGCCAGTCGTCGAACTTTTCCAAGATTCACCCAGAGAAGCGGTTGTTGGGGTGTGGATCATGCTGGAAACTTTCCTGTGGATTCGACACAGAGCTTAGGCTGGACTTCCTGTTTGTTGCAATGCACATGCTTCGCAACATAGGCCTTGTTGCTCGGCACTGCTTCACATGTTCGATTGCTTGGACTTTGTGTGCTCTTGGCCAGGAGAGAACGTGAATCGTTTTTTCAAGGCTCGTCCTTCGCTAGCAAGTCAGGTCGTCTCCGATGCGTCCAGCAGCTGCAATATTTCTGTGTCAAGCCGTTTTGGGATCAAGAACTTGAGTGTCTTCCCGAGAGAGACAGTGGCACTCTCAACTCCGAGAGAATCCAGGATGGACACAGCTTTGCATTCGAACAGTTGATGCTTGTTCTGCGGATGTCTCAGAGGAATAGCAAGTGCTGCTGAGATGCTGTCCAGACGATTGTCGCAGGCTTAGGTCGAGCTTCCGAGGGAATGATCAAAGACTCAGGCGTCTCAGATTTCGGTCAAAGCTCTTGCCAAGGGCTGCGGCTGCCGTAAGCCGGCACAGTTTTGGCATCAGCCGGGTGCACCAGGTCGCACATCAGGCTGCGCCCTGCCAGAAGAAGTGCAGACCAAGTCAGTTGCGCATGCCGCTTGAATCCTTCTGGCAGGCAGCGGCCACCATGCACAGACCGACAACGACAGTGGGACCTCCAAGTTCTGCACTGGATGGTCGGATCTGCGCTCAGTGATCGCGCGCACAGTAGATCGCAAGCGACAAGAAAAGGTCTTCCCTGTGCACGTGTTCTTGCGGCTGAGGCCTCCTGCCTTCACCAACAACCAGAACGATCAGAACGACATGTGCAGAAGTGGCTGCGACTGCCCTGCACGGACAAGGTGCCACACCAACGACTGCTCATCACATCCTGCAAGCTGTGGATACTCAAAATTGGATTGCTGTGCTGACAAGCCGCTCTGAAGCAAACAGTGGAGCACAATCATGCCAACAAGGCCATCGCCTCTTCGCTGTTGCTCTGGCTGCACTGGATGCTGGATGCTGCATGCGGTCGGAAGTTTGCTCATTATGCCTTTTGTGCATGTGTCTTGTGCACGTGGGCATCTTGCGGCCAGCATGGATGCACCGTCGATGGTTCTAGGTGGACATTGCGAATGCTACATGCCAGTGACCGCTGCGGTTACCTCAGCTGTACCTGCGTGCGGTGAGTAATTTGCAGTGTTTTGTTGACAGGTCTGGGTCGGGTTTCGCTGGGGTGGGTTGGGCATTAGGCCAGCGCGTGCCACAAACCCTAACTAGCACATGAACTGTCTTCGACTTCGCCATGCGTGAGTTTGCCTGGCTGCCAGTGTCTTGGGTTGATTTGTCTTCTCGGTTTTTGTTGCACTTCCCTGGCGCGTGCATATCTGTTTGCGTTGTCATTTGGTCTTCTCTTGCTGTTGCGTTGGAGATGATTGTCCCAATTCGCAAGCTGACGCCCGCCGAAGCAGACAGGCCAGCGAAGAAGGTGCCTGCTATTGCAAGTCTTCGCGGCGGCACGGAACTTCAGCGCCCTGCTCAACATCGTGTTTCATCTTTACTAGCACCGGCAAGTGCGGTTGTCAGTGCTTCGACTTTTGCAGGTACCTCTGGCCTGCAAGCATTTGTTTCAGAACAGCTGCAGCGGGGAGCTCCGAGAACTGGTCCTACCAGTGCTCTGAGTGCAAGTTTGGTACCGCGCTGCAGCCTCAAATCCAAAGAGGACACGGAGCGCAACCGGATTGCCATTTTGTGGATGGGGTTTGCAGACAGCTTTCGCGAAGATAGCTGCTTACTTGATGATTCGAGTGGACTTGAGCTTCAGAGTCTCAAGCCGTTGTTCCTTGACCGAGCACCCTCAACTCTCAAGCGACATTTGTGTGGCTTGAAGCTTTGGGTGTCGTTTTGCCTGACGCTAGACTGCCGCCGGGGCTGTCCATCGCTATGCCAACTTTTGGACTTTCTCGATGCCTTGTCCGAAGGTTCCTTCACTGACAGGGGGCGACAGCGCAAGCGATCGGCCTTGAGTGTGCTGAGTGGCATGGGATTTGCTGCTGTTCCAGCTCAGTAGTTTGACTAAGGTGTTGGAGAATCCTCTGGTCCTTGCCTGGAAGCAGGCAGACAAATGGCATCGGTCCCGTGTCAAAGAGGCGTTGCCGCTGCCGCTTATTGTCGTCCAGAGGCTTAAAGCCGCCGTTCTTGGTGAGCCCGGTGAAGACCGATTGCTACTTTGTGCCATGTTGGCCATGGTCTGGGGCAGTCTACGCTGGTCCGATGTCCAGCGCATGGCTCTGGACTCCGTTGTGTTGGATGATGGTGCACTAATGGGCTGGTGCTAGCGAACCAAGTCCAGCGTGCGGGGGATGGCGTGGGCCATCATTTCCTCAGGCTTGTGTAGCCGGAAGTGGACGGAGCTTCTCTATGAAGCAATATGCCAGCTGCGCGGAGCTTGTCCTGAGCGTGATTTCTTACTTGACAGTCGCGGGCTTCCACTCGGCTATTGTGGGATGCTGGGCCACCTTCGTCGTTGTTTGGTAGTGCACGCTGGTCTGAGCAAGTCCGTCGCCTGCCTATTTTC